AGCCTACCTCCACTCCACCCCGCCCCCAAGCCTACCTATGTTCTGCGACCCCCCTACCTGCCAGGGAAGGAGCGAGAGAGCAATATGTGCTCCCTCCTCTACGCCCTTCTGAGAGATCAGACCATTCTGTTTGGAGCTAGGATCCTTTTGACGTTGGACAGGGGGTTCTGGTCCTACCTTTGGGCCCAGTACTGGCCCTAAATTGGCTTTTCCAGAGAAATTGAACTGCAGTGGATGAGCATGGGGACAGAGCACAGGACAGCCCCAAGCCCCACGAGCAGTTTCCTTTGTCTAAGTACGATGCTGATTTTTATGAGGCTGATTTAAAGAGTAGGCACTGGTGTACGCCTAGTAAGTGACATGACGATTTGAGAGGAGTGGGGTGAACCTTCCTTGCTCAGATCTCAAGAGACCAATGAACAAGTCTCCTTTAGCTTGGGCCCCACCCTTGATCTGCCACTCCCTGGGGTCCCACGCAGCCTTTGGCCTCACACTGCCATGTCTGGAGAGTAAACAGGCTCGCTCCTACCACACAGGCAGAGCAAAAGCAGATGGTGGCAAAAATACATGTTTCTGTGCCTGACGTAGAAGGCCGATGTCCCCTTGCTCAGACAGAGACCTGGCTCCCCGCTCAGGTGGCCAGCCAGCCAGGTGGTAGGGCGTAGTGTCAATCTGGCCAGCTGGGTCTTGATGCAAACATGATTATCCTACCCGTCAGCCATCTTGGTTCATGCGGAAATTCTAATTCTATTCGAACACCAACTGGTGCTTTTTTTTTCTCTTGGTTGAATAAATTAGAGTGGGATGGGTTCTAGCCAATGTAATTTTTAAGCTGATTTCGTTTCTATCTATAAATACTGTACAGTCACAACATGTACATGTATTTGTGTATATATAGATATATATACATTCGCACATCTATATATACACAGATACGTTCTCTCATGAGTGTACTATAGTCTGCGGGTGGGAGCGGGATGGGGGGCAGGGCACCTAAGGGTGAGATGAGGGAGGTGGAGAGCAGCAACCACGTGACCCTATCAGCAGAACAATAAAGCATTACTAGAGATTCACTCTGGCTATGTGGCTGTCTTTGCTGAGACGATCGGCTAGGGACTGGGGGTGGGTTAGAACATACGCTTCGTGTTCGTGTTGGGGTCGGAGGTTGTGATCATTGCTGGCCCGGGACCCAGAGGCCACAGGAGGAACGGCCTCAGCTCTTCTCTCTGGTGATATGGGGGTACGGGAGGCTGGCTGATGGTACAGAGGATGGTGTTGACCATGCTATTAACAGTATGAAAATCACCACCCAGGAGATGGTGTGCCTAGGCGACAGATAAAGGGTTATGAGGGGGCCCTTGGCAGGGCTAGCGGACTCCCCCAACCTTTCGGCTCTGGACTCTGCCCCCCTGGACCTGCTTCCCAGTGTGGTTCCCCTTTGTCCGGCATTCTGGGAGAGACAGTGCCAAGCAGGGAATCTTCTCCGGCCCTCAGCATAAGGCAGAGGCTCTCATGCCTGCCTTTCTGCCTGGCCCACAGTGTAGCCCACAAATGCACCACCGTGGCCAACAGCCATGGGTTAGGGTGTCACGATGAGAACGCTGCCCAGACCCCTCATTCCCGTGCACGTGGCGAGTACCACCCATAGCTATTTCTAGCCCTCAGTCTTACACCTCCACCCTCCCTGAGTTGGCCTTTTCCTTTCCCTGGTGCCAGAGGACACTCACCCTCCCATTCCCAGCCCCATTGCCTATACTTTCTCCTCTGGTGCTTCCACTTGACCCAGTACCTCAAAGAAACCATGCTGTGGATGAATCTCATATGGGGACCGAACAATCTATCTGCAAGTTTTGATCGACTTGTTTTCTAGGCCCCGGTGCACCATTGCCGGAGTGTCTGAGGGTAGATGATTGACAGACTCAGGTCTGGATCGAGCTACATCCACTGACCCTCCCACTCACCCACTCGCTCAAATGCTCATCCATTCTGCCATTGGGCGAGTAGTTATGGAACGTCTGAGACGTGCCAGGCTGTTGACGCACGCAGAATACAGTGCACAAGAGCGACAAGGTTCCCACCTGCCTTCAGCACACATTGCAGTAGATGGTTGAGTGGAGGGATGTGGACGGCGCACAAACGCACAAACTAACTTCAGCTAAAATAAGAGCCATGAGGCATAACGCAGGATGAGAAGTGACTGGGAAGTTTGTTCAATAAGGTGGTCAGGGCCTCTCTGAGGAGGTGCCATTTAAGCCAAGACCAGAGGGAGGAGAAGGAATCAGCCACACAAAGACCCAGGGTGAGGAGTTGTGGGCAGAGGAAATAGTGAGCAAGTACAATGGCCCTGGTGTGGGGACAAAGTTGGCGTTTTCCAGGATAAGCGGCTGGTCAGTGTCACCAGTGTGTGGGGAGGAAGGCGATAGTGGGAGGAGATGGGATCAGAGAAGCCTGGTCACGTGGGCCTAAAAGGGAACCACCGGTGTCCTGTTCAGTCTCCATCCACAGCATCTCCCACATCCAGCCCATGCCCCAGCGTCTGAGGCCCCCTGGCTCAGCGAATTTCTTTCTACCTGGATATTAGGGAGAGTATCTCATGTCCTTTCCCTCCCACCCTGCCCATTTCCACCTGTACCTGGTTCGAGGTGAATCTCTCCGAAGTCAAGTGTCATCCTATGTCTTTCTGGCTCAAAAACTGTCGATACCTCACCGCGCCTCCAGTTGACAACCGAACTGTGGCAGTCAGGACCCCACAATGCAGCCTCTTCTCCTTCACCTCCCTTCTCCAGCCATGTCCCAGGCATGTTCCTTTAGTCGCCTCTGCCAGGAGTGGATGGAGGACCGTCTTGGACTCGGAGGACCCAGGGTCAAGATTCAGCTCAGCAGGTTCTTAACTGCGGGACTGTGGGTGAGTTATTTCACCTTTGGGGACCTCAGTTTCCTCATACACAAAATGGGGCTCAGAGAGATGTGTGGATTCCTTAGCAATGTAGGGTGATGATCACAAAATACTATCACCCCGAAACCTCACCAGTCGTCCGGCAACACTCAACTCCAATGTGTCTCTACCATGATGTCATCCCCGAAGCTTCCAGCAAGGTTCGCGCTCTCCTCTTCTGAGTCATCATTGACATTCACGTCTGCCCTCCATCTCACTTATGCCTCCTCTTAGGGTTCTTTGGGTACCAGTCACATGACCAGTCGCCCCCATTAGCCTGGGAGCACCTGGGATGAGTCATCTCTCGGAGTTCATCTCTGAGTCCTTCACAGTGCCCAGCTTAGGGAGGCAGGGAAGCCCAGTGAAAGGCATCCGGAGACAGAGATGTGACCTCTGCCACTTAGCAGTGTGATCTTGAGCAAACCACTTTGCTCTCTGAGCCTCGGTTCCCTCATCTGTAAAATGGGTACAGTAATGCCTCCCTTGCCAGGGTGTTGAAAGGTGTGCGTGTACCTAGCACAGTGGCCAATACAGTCGTGGGCCCAGAGGGAGTGCTTCGTCACTGCTTCCAGACGTGCCATGTTTTCTTGCACTTCACAAATAATGCATTTTCATCAACATCGAGGTGAGACTGTCCATCAACAAAAACATTACAATTCACTGAAAGCTCAGATGATGATTAGCATTTTTTAGCAATGAAATATTTTTAGTTAAGGTCTATACATTGTTCTTTTTCAGACAGAATGCCATTGCACACTTAATAGACTACAGTGTAGTGTAAACATAACTTTGATATGCACTGGGAAACCGCAAATTTCGTGTGACTGATTTCATTGTAATGTTTGCTTTACTGCAGTGCTTTGGGACCAAACCTGCAGTATCTCTGACATATGCCTGTATTCTGTTGGCTCATTCAAGCCAAGCCATTGCTTTATAAGATCCTCCTCCACCTGGCTCACCCCTGCCTCGATTCTCTCTAGCTGTGACATCAAGGACAGGGACCAGGTGACAGTCATCTCTGCGGCCTCATGTCCAGGACAGGTAGCACGTGCTAAATGCAGTTGTGTGTTTGTGTGTGAAAGCAGGAGAACAGGAGAGCACGTGGGATGGGAGGAGATGCTGGAGCTCGAAGGAGCCTGGGGAAGGGTAGGTGAGGACAGTATCAAGCTCTTCTGCCCAGGACAGGACTCATGGATACTGAGCTCCTACTGTATACCAGGTACCATGCCATGCATCTTTCCATACAGGATATCCTCTCAACCTCCAAAGTCCGCTGTGGCATGCTAGCATCCCCTTTTTCTGGGTGGAGGTCCGAGAGTCCGAGAGGCAATGAGACTTGCCCTGGGGTACACAGCAAGTAAGCAATTGAACTTGGACTTCTGCCCAGACTCCTGAGTCTGTCTTCTTTTTACTACAGCCCCTTACAGATGGAGAAGACACTCCTACCTCATGCTGGTGGCTTCAGTGTGTGTGTTTTGGGACAAGGGGACAGTAGGGAGGGAACCGAAGGTCATAGGCATGACAGCTGTTGAACAAAGGGAAGGAAGAGGGGCAGGGCTGCAGGGAGATGACCTGCCCTGCGTGCCCTGCATCCGGGATGCTGGCTATGGTCAGGAAGGGCCCTAGGGTGTCTGTGGGCTGCCAGAGCTTCTATGACGGGCAGATGGTGCCTCAAGCAGATTGGAGAGGTCCTGGGACTGAGCGGAGGTCATGGCCATATCTGGACTTTCATGGGCTCTAGGTACTTTTGCCTTTGTGGGCCCTTCCTTCATTCACAACATTAAAATACGTATTTTTACAGCTCCATGGGTATAAAGACGAATATGATC